CAAGCGCACGACGAATGAAATGCTATAGGAATCTTTTCCTTGTCTATTTTAGTTCTCTGTGATATGTGGTTTTACATTTTCTTGTTTAAGTAAATTTAAAACCACATATCACAGAGAACTAAAATAGACAAGGAAAAGATTGAAACGGAGGGCTTAAATACACAGCAAACAAGAGGAACTAACGACACTAATTAACGAGACACACCTGAACTGAAACTCAAATCAATATGTAACTATGGTGACAAACAGGCAATGGAAACTGAGGATGACAGAACCAATTAACACACAGCAAAACACAAGACTGGAAATACAGTCATCAATGAAAACAAACATAAAACGTGACTAAGTATGAGTGAAACATCACATCATCATTCAGACATTGCCAAAAAAAAAAAATATATATACACTATTACATACCTCGGGTCACTAGTGACCCTATACACATTTTACAAGAAAATATATATATATTAGAAAACAGATATTCTTTTATATAACATTTTCTTGGGTCCCACTTTATATTAAGTGGCTTTAAGTACTATGTACTTACATCGAAAAATAAGTACAATGTACTTATTGTGTTGATGTTGTATTGTAAAACACTTTTGCTGCTATTGAGGTGTGATACGTGTAAGGTTAAGGACAGGTGTGGTGGTATGGGTAGGTTTAAGGGTGGGTTAAGGTGTAAGGGAAGGGTCAACTGTGTAATTACAAATGTAATTACATAAATTAATTACAGCTGTAATTACATGCTGGTATTTTAAAATATAAGTGCAATGTAAAAACATGTATGTACACAATAAGTCCATTGTATCAAATTATTAATTTCAATGTAAGTACATAGTACTTAAAGCCACTTAATATAAAGTGGGACCCTTTCTTGTTATACTGTTGATAATTAATAGATTGAGGAATATTAAGAAGGTTGATGTCTAACTTCAATGAAACTAAACAAAAAATGAAAGGGAGGGTAGGACTGACGTCCCAGGTCGATAAAGACCCAGAGGGTTTAAGGGTTAAAACAATATCTATTGTATATAGAGCTATAGAAATAAAGGTGACTTAGCCTACTAGATTTAGTTTAATTGTGTGAGGGCATTTTTTTGTCCCTTAACTTGAATTTGGGAAGCATTTTTGTTCCCCCGTTAATTTCCGACCCTGCAACTCGCACATTGCATCTGTATGCCAACTGTCAAACCCAATTTTAATATTAATTCAGGTCAAATTGACCTTACAGAATAACGACCAAGGCAAATGGCACAAAACGCCTTCCACGCTTCACCCAGAGGAGCGTGAATAGTGATCGCTGACACCACCATGATGTGGTGGAGAGACAATAGTACCCTGCAGGACAGCATGGCTGCTCGGCCTCTGCCACTTTTCCCCGGGACCCAGGGGGCCTCCGCATCCACCCAGCCCACGGAAGCAGCAGATGTCGGGGCTGCTGTGCCACGGCACCCCCCGCGCCTGCCCTGGGGCTGTGTGCAGAGAGAGCAGCGTGTGTAGGACACTGGGACAGATGGCAGGGGGTACGGGCAGGGCTGTACAGAGGATGCGAGCCATCCACGGTGCCAACACTGCATTCATAGGCATGTATGACATGTTTACCTCTGTGGATTGAAACCTATAAATGTGCCCTTTATTGGTGAAGGCATTTTTTACGCATCTGGACTGTTAATGTGGCATAGCAAACATTTGACTGGTAAAGTCTAAGAAGACCGTTTTTAGGAGTTAAATAGTCCTGGGAAAGTGGAAAGAATGTTTGTGGTATAGAGTAACAAACGAAAATAATCAACAAACAGCATTTGTTCACATACTGTACATTCCACAAGAAACGTGATTGAAGTTGTCCAAAACGTAACGCTGCACCAGCAGGCACTTCAAGATGACTAAGTGTGTCTCGTGGACAAAACAAAGACGAGAGCTGCTCTGTCATGAGCTGTCTGGGATGATAGCGCCATCTAGCGTTTAGGCGATTTGGGACTTTCGCTGGACAAGCAGTAGTATCTCTCAGACACAAATGTCCATGTGTGAAATGTAGGCCACAGTGTCTGGAAGAGAGACAGAAAAAGCGATAAAACAATATGCTTATGTAACCAGAGATGACAAGAATGGTGAAGGATGAGTGAATATAAACTCTCAAGACTGAAAGAAAACAACATTATCTTGGCAATAAGCTTGAATCATACTGTTTTTCCTACTTATTTATTTATGGTAAAAACTAAATGTGCAGACCAAACTTCCATATTGAATAACACCCAAATGACATACTAACAGTGACCACAAAAATAATTCCCTTGGGTGTTGTTAAACACATACAATTTAACCATTTGCATTGCTTGTTTGTTTGTTTTACTGCCAGAGACTCCCGGATATGATGTTTCCTTTGTGATGGACCCTCCTAAAATATAAAGGCAGATATATATTATCATGTACTGTGCAAATATTTATTTATACACTGAGAAAAAAAGTTTAGTGGTATTATAAAGATGTTTCCAAAATAAAGTAATTTATGTTTTTTTATCGTCATTATACAAAAGGCAAAATAAATGATCCTGTTTAAAATAGTACTTTGTATTAAGTTACCAGTGTATCTTTTTTTCCGTGTAGTATGACAGTTTATTTAGATGTAACCCTGGAAAGAAAAAAAAAGATACAATTAAACACATTTGCATACCGATTTACATTATAAAAAATATAAGATATTCAACACAAATGCAAACTATTCATATTCACTATATCTACTATATTATACTCTTAATTGTAATAATAATCAAAATTGAGGATTTCTGACCTGACTTCAGAAAGTAGAATGAAGCAGTAATAATGTCAAGTTTGCAAATGTGTTGATGATCACACTACGCATATTTAATTAATATCTTAGGTTAATACTTTGACATTCCTGATAAATGCACTTTAAAAAAAAATTGCAGCCCTCTCACATTTAAAAAAAGATCTGTCTCCACCATTTTTATTTTTTAACTTCTTTCTGATGGCTTCTCAGCTCCAGTTGCCTCATATAATAGCAAAATTTCCTCTGGTTGCACACAGGACTGTTCACTAACTGTATCATGACCACTTCGTATTCTGACATCCATTTGACATATAGCTTTTGCATACTATTGCATACTCGGACGCGGGGTTTTACCTCAGCCCCCATGAAACAGGCAAGGTTGAGATGACATGTTTTATTCATCGCAACGCCCCATTGTTTGACCATTAAGATGATGTAACATCTCCATTTTGGCACGCAGGCGAACCGTCTGGGTCCCGCTACAGAGACGCGTCTCTTGACTTTTTGAACTCCGTTGGCTTCTCCACACGACGCCAGCCGTGTTAGCGCATCGTATATCACGGGTGAGAGGGAAACGATGGCATTGCCATTGATAGCGTTTATGCTTCGCCGCCTCACCGACATAATGAGCACATTATCTGCGCGCTCTGGGACTGCTGCTCGCCCCCGCACTTTAAATATTCACATCCTATGTTTATGGAAAAAGCCAGGTATGAGACAGTTGGTGAAGAAAGACTGCAAAATGACTGCATCGTGTTTTTCTTCATCAATGCATCTAGCGAAAAGAATTTAAGTTAAATCTAGTTGTAGCTATATAGATAGACAGCTGTCATTCTGGAGCTTCAGCACCATGGACAGGCCCAACTATCTCTCAAATGTAGCCTACCACAGGAATTCTGACACGATTCTCGTTTTCTCCACCTTGTTGTAGCCTACAAGCTGTTTTATTTTATAGCCAATCATTTGCTTTGCACAACAAGACAAACAAAAACAGCAAGGATGCTTGGTAAGTCCTTGAACGTGATTGGTAGCCTACAAAGACATATTTTCAGTGTTTTTTTTACTGACCTTTTGTCACACTTGTAAGGAAATATTTACATCCACACGGAAAATGTCTCTGCATAAGCCCCTTTGAAAATACTGAATGCCTCTTGTATCTGCTTGTGTAACCTTGGAAATAACACTTATTGACTGAAGAAGTAAGAGTGTGTGTTAACATGAACATAACCTGTCATGTGAGGACATCCACTTTTCTAAGCATACAAAACATATCCAAAGGTTAGCTGTAATGTGCAGACATAATACTAGCTAGGTCTACTTGATGAGTTTGTGGAATTTCTACAAAAATGTAATTTCCATCATTCAGAGCCTCATAATAGATGTACAACCTTGAACATGGCTTATGGTGTTGCAACGTAGCTAACAAATGCTCTGAGAGCACTTAAAACTTTGAGGAATTTTTATCACATCTCTTTCTCGGTTCTCAAAGTTAAAGGCGGGGAGCAAAAAGCAATTTATAGCTTTAGGCTTAAATAACTTTTAATATGAATGGGTGTTATTGACATATCCTGTATAATTCATGGGGGGGAAAGGGCACATACAGTCACCACGCTATATGTTTTGCATTCTGACAAAAACACACATGATAGCCTATCACATTGATACTTTCCCAAGTGAAAGTTAAATTCACCAAACACGTGTACAATTTAGTTAAATGCCAGTAAAATTCTACTAAGACTGTGGTATCATTTTGTATGCAAATAAAAGCCAATGTTCAAACTGATTTTATGGTTTGAAAAAAAAGAAGAAAGATCTGCAGCATATTAAAATCACACAGTGTAGCCTATGATTTAAGCTATTTACAGATTTCTCACAATATAATCAACATTGATTGACTGATTAACCATTGATTAGGCTAACGATTGATTGCCAAAATCCCCAAATCTCTTTTATAATATGCTGAGGAAGACATTCACAAAATTTGGAAGCATCTAGATCTCTGATTTGTTTGTTGTATTCACCTATGAAGAACATTTCGAGTTCACTTTGAAATAAACAAACATTGTTCTCTGTTGTGCAGGTTGGAAGGCTCTAAAATGTGACTTCATCAAGAGCTCGTTATTGTTATTTTTTTTATTTTTTTTTACGTAGATGTCGCAATTGTAAATAAAACTGGAAAGATACAGTGAGTGTCAGATGTGCTGTGAAGATCAGCAGCGCATGCGCATTGTGCGCGCTCCAGCAAATGCAAACTTTGGCTGATGAAGACACGAAAACAAGCAACAAGGATCGATTACTGAACATTCGGTAGTAGCCAAATTTATTTGACCTATTTTATATTTTACAAAAATGATTCATTTGCACAGAAAGGTTAGGCTGTCGGTTTCCTTGGCAAGCGCCATATCATAGACATTATGAACACGATCAGCCTATAATACGAGTGTGTCATTTAAATGAGTTTTAATAGCGACGTATGAGCAATATCCGTTGCCTGTGGCATTTTAATGTACTGTTGCCATTGTGATTTATATAATTACGCTGACTCGTTAAATCTTCTTTATTGACTTGGCGTTTATTGACATGTTTATTGCTGTCTGTCTCCAATATTTCAGCATCTCTGGATCCGCCTGATTTAATCGCAGTAAACGTAACGATTCTGTACAATCCTATTTGCATAACGTTAAACGTTTGCTCATACGACACTGGATGTGATCGTTCAGATATAGATAAGAAAATATCTTGAGTGTTCTGAATGTCATGGAAGCAGAGTTACGTCGTATGATTGATATTTGCTGCACTTATTGTCATAATTGTGCATAAACATGCATAGTGAGTCATTCTCATAAACACTTTGTCATAGATGGGATAATGTAAACATTTATAATATGCCTAGATTCACTGAATGCACATTGGATTTGCTTTATGGAATTATATGCCTCTCGTGAGCGGTTCGTCGAAGTAGTCAGCTTAGACTTTTTGTGATATGTGATGAATCCACTTTATGATCAAAGAACGGTCCGATTCTGATAATGATCTTTGCGGTCTGCCGTTGTTGCTATGGTTACCTCATCAGTCCAACTCAATTTATGAAAATTGTTTACAATTTATATAGTAGGCGAAACGTGTGTGAATACTCTTACAACATATATATATATATATATATATATATATATATATATATATGTTTATGTAAACAACTTGTACATACCAGTCAATGTTTTCTTAGGGGTGTATTAATTGCCCCACCACAACCAAAAAGTGCGCCATGCCTTGCATATGAACGACTAATCTGCAAATGATTTATGAACTAATTTGCATAATTCTCTTTTTAAGCCTCTGTGTTCATTATTCTGATATTCAGTTTTAGCTAATGAACCATTTACCTCCTGAGTATTCAGAATATGAATAAGCTTAATTATAAAGCAAATAAACTCTTTGTTTAAACTGCATTTTTAATCTAGAATTTAAGGGTATAGTTAAGTGTACAGTTAAATATAACGTATCATTAGGTAGTACCATGTTAGAATCTATGGATATATAGCATGCAAATGGAAGTGTGTATGAAATATTATGAATTAGATTCAATGATGCTCTTGAGAGTGTTGATGACTCTAGAGAGTATCAGTGGGTGGTTTTTCACTTCTACACCATCAACTGTAGTAAGCCTAAGCATGGATACTGCTGAGATTCAGAAAAAAATCTTGCATATTGTGACATATATCAACAAGTAAAAATATAGGGTGGGACTTGATTTTATCAGGAAAAGATAAATCATTTATAATAAATACTGCCATTAAAAAAACAATAATTGTCAATTTTGCATATACTTTAAGCTTTTTAGTAGCAATTTGCGCTATTGTAGGCTATTTGATCTAAGACCCGAAAAGGCTGACTTAAAAAAACAGACAGATGAATTAAGGTCACCTTGAGAAATGCTGGAAACTGTTATATAACTCAATGACAAGCAAAATAAGAAGGTTCAATGTTTTGGGATGTCTTGTGTTTTTGTCTGTAATGATGTGTGGTTGTAATCACAGGTCTGAAATGGCCTCTTGCTCTGAGGTTTGTGGGTCCAGTCACGCGGTCGACTCCGGCTGTCGTGTTTTCGGAGTGCGCTCCTATTTACACCACTTCTACGAGGAGTGCACAGCCTCAATGAGGGAGCAGCAGGAGGACTTTCAGGGCCAGAGATCACCGCTGCGGTGGAGCTCAGGCTTCTGGAAGGTATCAGAGAGAAGTTTTGTTGTGTTTTGCACTTTTCTGTAGAAGAGATCCAAAGTCCTCATTTAATGTTGTTTTCACTGTTGGCATGTTTGCTTGAGTCCAAAACTAAATTCGATTGACTACACTTTGCCCCCTCTGGTCTTTCAGAATGTGTTATGCTGTTTTGAAACTTATGTGCATCAAAAGCTGGTCACGTTCAGATTCGCATCACAAACAAACTGTCAATCATCAACTACCCTTCAGACACTTTTCTGTCTTGACTGGTCTTATAAACTTAACCAACGCTGTAAAAAAAAAGTTGCTGCCTCAAATTTTTAAGTACAATCAACTTGGATGTTTAAGTCATTTCAACTTAAATTACATTAAACTGACTTAAAAATTAGTTGAATCTTGTATAACTTGTAAAAAAAGTTGAAAATTGCTTAACTTATTTTGATGAGTTAAAGCAATGTAAAAACATATGTTGTCATAACTGATTGATCATATCATTTTTTTTACAGTAAAACTTTGTGAAATGTCTATTGACTTTACAAAAGATAAATGAGTGATGGCCCAAATAGCCAATCAAATCGCTGCTTCAAGAGCTGAAAAATTTCAGAAACTGTTAAGCCTTTTATGTTCAAATCGGAGATGAGAGAGTCAAGAAGAAGTGACATGTAGAACGCAACAGGACATTTCTGAATGGTTAGTTGATGAATTTACGTAGCTAATGTGGAGTTAACTATTTTCTACTCATTGATTAGCATATTCTGTCATGATAATCTATAAATCGCGTTCCTGGGGTCGGGGTTTATGTACATTTTAGGGTTAGTGATGTCACTAACCCGTGAAGAAGCTCATTGTAGTCCCTACGAGCAGTTTGTTGTAGTCCTTAAAGGGGTCATCGGATGCAAAATTCACTTTTATATGGTGTTTGCATATAAATGTGCCTTTGCAGTGTGTGGACACAACCACCATACAATGAAAAAAATCCATTCACTCATTTTTTTTAAAATCCTCAAAATGCCTAAACACTCTCAATAATCAAGCCGTTTGGATTTTCTGCTCCGCCCACGACCGCTAACGGACTGTCCAGTATTCGCCTATTTCTGCCCTCAGCCATTTGTATTCTGTCTGCCAAGGCTTTACTTGCCTTGTGTCGACACGCCCCACGGAAGAGAGGGGTGGGGTGAGCAGTTGCTCATTATCATTTAAAGAGACATGCACCGAAACTGGTCGCTGTGAACAAAGCTGTTTTTGAGGAGGTAAAAAGGGTGTTGTTTTACACCACCATTGAGGAATTTTAATGAAAGTATGTTACACACTTTACATGAAGACCCTAAAGAATCATACCAACTTGTGGAAAATGGGCATCCGAGGACCCCTTTAAAAAGCGATTTCTGTAAAAGAAAATATCTCCCTTCGCTTTGAACTTTGTAACTTTGCAGATGTTGTTTATGCTCAAACAGCAACATTACACACTAACTAAAGTTAAAAAAGTGAAAAAAATTTCCCTTTTATAGAGTTTGTTTATTCCTTTTCATGAAATCAGCCAGTATTAATCATAAAAAATGTAAAAATTGGATAATACTTTTTTTTTTATGACGTCGACATTTATTTTACATATACGTGAATCTGTTTCTCCAAAAATAAAAATACTTTACGAATAAAGCTGTTTGGACGCTAGATTCAGGCGATTACAAAGATTTTTATATGGCATTGTGCTTCAAAGTTAGCTAAATCGAGCAGGATCCTAAACTAGAAATCGAGTTTATTTCCTCCGTATATTCCTACCTGCTGTTAGAGTAAATGCACATAGGCTTCATCCAAGACACTAATGATTTCATTTAATGTGTGGATTATGTGGTTTTATTTGTAAAACAAACATGCCGAATGGATTTTTAAGAGCTCTGAGAAGTAATGTGACATGCAGCCAAAGTTTATTTTATTTTAAGGAAAACACAAAAAAGACAACATTTACTCCATTTGCACCTGCAAATTGTCCATTACGCGTGTCAATGTCAATTAATGTTAATGTCAATGTTTCTGGCATGGCAACTGTCTGACTTCTTGACACTTGTATGTTTCGGATTTCCATTGTTTACTTGCCTTCTACCATTATGTTTAGTGTTTCAACAAGCTGGTGCTTTCTGATTTTGAATTCTGACTCTGATGATAAACTATGATGAAATGCCTTTTAAGTAATTTATTCTGGTGGTTGTTTTATTTGACGGACATAGAAAGATTACTCGCCCTTGAAAAGCTGTGGCTGTGGTTAACCGCTGTCGTAGGGTCAATAGAACCAACAAGAGAATGAAGAGCACTCTTTTGTTCACTCTTAGGTCACACTTGCGGTTGGTGTGGTACTCCTGACAGTGGGGCTGGTGATCATGACTGTGGGCTATGCCATCCCCACTCGCATTGAGGCTTTCGGTGAAGGCGAACTGCTGTTCGTGGACCGCCAGGCCATGCGCCACAATCACTCGCTACACATATGTGTTCTGGTCGGGACGGGGCTTCTCACTCTGGGCGGGGTTCTGATGGCAGGTGGAATCCTGACGTCTAACTTCTCCACAACTCCCACAAAAAAGGAAGACTCCAAAGGAGAACGGAAGGGGGGGAGCAGAGTCGTGAGCGCAATGAGAAGCCCAGCAGACCCTGTAATGAAGCCTCCCAGTCCGGCCTCTGGTGAAGGAGTAGTATCTCCTCTTGCTAGGGACGATAAAGTTCAGAAGTGCTCATAAAAGAGCTGTTTGACAATGCCCGTTCAAGAGTGCTGTCAAAACAATCAGCAAAAGCTCCTTGTTTATTTCAATGAGAAATTTGGGAGTGTCTTATTTGTGTTTGATAATTGTGTGATAAGAGCCTTAAATTATTAATTATTAGTAGAGCAAACCTGTGCCATCTGTTGTCCTTGTATAATCGTCGTTCGAAATAAGTTTTGTATTTTTCTACATTTCAGTATTGATCAAATGAACAGCCACTAAGTGGTTGCAAGGCAGCAAAAGAAAGCTTTTGAGTAAAAATATTTTTTTTAAAGAAATGAATACTTTTATTCAGCGATTATGCATTAAGTTGCTCAAAAGTTATAGTATATTATAGTATAATAAATACATTTATGTTACAAAAGATTCTTTAAAAAAAAAATGTGGTTCTTTTGACCTTACTATTCATCAAAAAATCCTTAAAATCATGGTTTCAGCACAACTTTTTTCAACATTGATAATAAAATGAAATGTTTCACAAGCAGCAAAACAGCATTTTGAATGATTACTGAAGGATCATGTGACACCGAAGACTGGAGTTATGATACTGAAAATTCAGCTTTGCCATCACAGCAATAAATTACATTTTAAAATAATTCAAACATGGAAACGGTTCTTTTAAATTGTAATACTTTACAATGTTACTGTTATGTACGGAGCCCCCCTAGTCCCACTTTGTCAAAAAAAATATTATAACTATAAGATAGTAACTCGTGGCCTCAAGATACTATCTCGTGGCCTCAAGATACTATCTCGTGGCCTCAAGATAGTAACTCGTGGCCTCAAGATACTATCTCGTGGCCTCAAGATAGTAACTCGTGGCCTCAAGATACTATCTCGTGGCCTCAAGATAGTAACTCGTGGCCTCAAGATACTATCTTGAGGCCACGAGATAGTATCATGAGGCCACGAGTTACTTATCTTGAGGCCACGAGATAGTTATAATACATTTTTTTTTGACAAAGTGGGACTAGGGGGGCTCCGTGGTTATGTCATTTGGAATGCAAACGTTTTTGAGCACAAGTTGGAATGGAGTCTGATGTTATGTTCATTTAGGAAGAGGTTTAGAGTTTAGAAAAAGCCATATAACCACAATGTTTGAGGAATAGCAATACAGTGCTGCCTTGCAAACACTGTAGAAAATGCAGGTCTGTCATAGAAATATGCACAAACCTACTCTTAATGTCTATATTTCTGGATCCCTGACATCTTTTCTATCAGATATTCTGCTATGTATAAGATATCAGGTACAAATTTTCTCTTTCTATCTTACTCTTTCAACAGCTGCAGTTAAATAGAATGTGAGAGGCTAAATGGGATTTACTGTACACAACACCTTAATTGTCTACAGTCTTATTGTCTCATTATGTTAATGTATTTAAATGCTCTTCTCTAAACAAGCCCAATAAATCAATGTCAGCATACTTAATCCACTTCTCTTTTGGTGTATTTTTTTTTCTGACAGATCATCCTCATCTACACCTTTTCATTCATTGATGGTGGTAATGAAATGAAAGCCACACTCAGAAAGATGTGATCTTTTATGAAAAACAGACATCTCTTTTCATATTGTAAAGCGTTGTCTATCTGTAGGTCGTTTGAGTGACTGTAAATAGATGCAGGAAACAGCGATGACTCATCCCAGCTCTGTTCCCTGCTTCCACAAAACTGCGTTCTTCCTCTTTCTTTGTCTCGCGAGGGCTCGCCGTGAGTCACCTTCTCATATAACAGTCATAGCTCACAGTACGTGGGCTGTTAACAATCAATTAACCAGTGCTCCACACATGTAGAGCCATCATCAAGGATCGTTCACTCCTCTGCGGCTACGCTTACCCAGAAAACAAGAGTGAGATGGGAAGAAATGTTGTTTGTCTTCAGCTTTAGGTCATGTGCTTGATGCCTGAAATGTGTTGGCAGCTTGTTAACACGTTTGTTTAGAAAATCCAAATCAGATGAACGCTACAGCGTGTTGACGTGTGCCTAGGTGTACTGAAAATAGGCCCTAGCACTCAGGATAAACTGCCCACTTGAATCTTTTTTAATGTTGGGAATAGGGTTTAGGGGTACAGGCGTTGGTTAGTCATGGTACCAATGGTGGTGCATCTAAATTCTAAGTTCTAAGTTTATTTCTGCCTAATGAAATGTTTAACCAACACTTAAAAATAAAGGTTTCTTTATTGGCATTGATGGTTCCACAAAGAACCTTTAACATTCATGGATCCTTTCCACTGCACAAAAGGTTCTTTTTTGTAGTGTACACATCACACCGCTTCGAATCCTGCTCGGAGTGGTTCGAGTAGGACCGGTTACATTTGGTGCCGTGACCCATGCAAGTGAGGTTTAGGGGGGTGAGTGTAATGGAGGCAAGCTAGTAAGAGCTCTGCGTGTAAACCTCACTCACCTGGCCTCAAGAGGTGTACTAGAGACTGCGTCCTTTATAGCCTCCCATGCCGGTTTAAATCCCACTCTGAGCGTGTTGTTTCAAAGAACACTTCACCCAAAAATTCTCTCATCATTTACTCATCCTATTCTGGTAGACAGATTGCAATTTTCAGTCTTCACTCTCATATCATTCAAAACAATGCACGCAAAGTCTACATCAAATATGGCAAACCACAAACGGCATTACGTTTGCTCATGTGATATCCGAGAACCAATGAGATTTGATGTTAACCCAAAGTATAATTCATGAATGTTTCGAACGTGTACAACCGAACTCACAGCCTTTTGTTGACCCTGCCCTAATACCACACCTGTGGTCTTAACCACTTGTCTGTGGCCACTTGACATATTTCCTGTATTTGACTCAAGTGTTCAAATGGGCGAGAAGCCCGCAAGTGTGTGTAGAACTTTAGATTACCCAAGAGGACACACTTATAGTGTTGTAAAAATCAAGTAGCATTTTTTTTTTTTACAGAGCTTTATTTACATAATTTTTATATGCACTTGCACTTTAAGGGTGTGTTCAGACTCTAAACAAACCAAAACAGGATGTTATGTCACCAGATGCCACCCTAAAAAGAACGCAATGCTAGTAGCAATGTTGCCCAAAACAGTTTGGTACAAGCATTGGATCTGCGTCTCCTTGAAGCAGAACTTTTATGTGTGCAACAGAGGAATTCCTGCACCTGTAAAGTTTCGATTCCTTTACACATTTATAATGTCTTCGTGAGTTCTCAGCTGGTAAAATACAGTATCATCATATGTACACACACAGTACTACACACATACAAAAAGTGCATTTAGGACACATTGGTTTGGATGTTTGGTAAGTTAACTTACAGTTTTTCTCGAATTCATGAGTTTTCCTGGACATGACGAATGATGGGATACACAGCCTACAATATCAGTCCATAGCGTTATTAGAGACAGTGTGAATTTAGTGTGCATAAATGGCACTGAGCTTTGGCATTTATCAGATCTGGGGCGGTCTCACTTTCTCTCACGTGCTCAAGTGGCCAAGACTGTAAGTGTGTGTATTGGGACAGGCCCTATATTCTTTGAACTTTGGCTGATGTTTGAGGTATGTGGCACCATATATTTGAAATAGCCTCTGTATACAATATACAATGAATTGGAATGTACCAACATAGTGTCGGCCCAGATCTGGTACGTGTGGAATCCATGTGTACCAGATTCGGGCCGGATCTGGGCCGACATTATGCTGCTGTCTGGGTCCCAGTTTAGTTAATTTTGAGTTTGGCTCTTTGACAGCTGAAACATTCTTCAAAATTTTTTTTTTTTTTTTTGTCCTGCAGAATAAAGAAAATCATGCAATTTTAGAATGATATGAGGGTGATTAAATGATCACAGAATTTTTGTGTGAATTATCCCTTTAGGTCAGTTTTTCAGTACATCCGTCACTCAGGTGTTTTACTACATGTCATTAACCGACAACTCACAACTGTATCTAAGCTCAGGCTGCATGGAGTAGAGAGACAGGCGGACACATGGAGGGTCTGTGACACCAGAGCAGTCTGTTCAGTGTGAGGTGGGGAAATGAGACGAAACTGACATGCTCCATTGACTGAGCTGTGGAAAATGACTCACTGCTCTGAGAAACTGCACACAGGAGAAATTCATTGAACCTATGAACTCTTGGCACTGTTGAGTGATGCTGATACGCTCAAGGTTTCAAACCACAATAAAGAGCCTATTGCTATTTATCCATAAAAGACTCTAAAATGCAACATCTCTAATGCTTTATTTAAGAATGTGAGATAATTGAGGTCTATGACACTTCTTATCCAATAAGTAGAACGATTAACTGATGCAATAGCATGCAACATTAACAGATACAGTGTTAAAAACCACTCTTAGAATATTTTTACATTTTAATTTTTTAATATGGAATATCTGACAAGTGCTGTTTTCTATATTCTCTAGATACTGAATTATGTCTGCATCTCTAGTAATGCAAACAGTATTTTGCACATTTTACCAATTTTGAAAACACTTATTTATTATTATTATTATTGAATTCTATTAAATTATTTTTCTTCATGATGCTAAAAATATTTGAGATGATTTTTGTTGAAACTGCATATGTCATTCATTCAAAGTGGCTGGTTACCAGATAATGAAGGAAACCATCCAAAACATGGTCAACAAAACTTCTATTTGTTCAATTTCATAGTTTGATGTCTTTACTAGTCGTTAAAAATAGTAATAATAAATGAACTCCCTTTTGCCTTCAGAACTGCCTTAATTCTTCGTGGCATAGATTCAACGAGGTGCTGTAAACATTCCTCTGAGATTTTGGTCCACATTGACATGACAACATCACACAGTTGCTGCAGATTTGTCGGCTGCACATCCAGCGATGCAGATTGAGATCTGGTGCCTGTGGAGGCCATTTAGTGAACAGTATAGTGAACTTTGAGATCAGTTTGAGATGATTTAAGCTTTGTCAAATGGCATGTTATCCTGCTGGAAGTAATCGTCAGAAGATGTACACTGTGGTCATAAAGGGATGGACATGATCAGCAACAATACTCAGGTAGGCTGTGACGTTTAAACGATGCTCAATTGGTACTAAGAGGCCCAACGTGTGCCAAGAAAAT